GGTTCTCTGCCCTTGAGCTTGGCTCGGATCTGCTTGTCAATGCAGGTAGAGTACATTCCACCAGGCCAGCACGCGTGTGTCAATTTCCACGCCAAAGCAGGCATCACAGCAAGAGGGAGCCAGGAAAGACTGAGGCCAACGGTATCGCAGGGAGGACAAGAGCTGCAGCGACGCTCTCACGAGACCTCAGGCGAGAGAGGGAGAGATAGGTTGCAGAGAGAGAGAGAGAGAGCTACGCAAGGGGAGGAGGAGGAGCGGCCCGCCGGCCTCGGCCGCTGGCCACGGCCTCGGCCCTCTGGGCACAACGGGCAAACAGGCATCCACCTGATCCAGCTGCCGGGGCCTCTCTGCCTTTGAGCTTGGCCCAGATCTGCTTGTCAATGCAGGTGGAGAGAGAGAGAGAGAGAGAGAATCCATTGCTGGGAGCGACAAACGCCGTGTTTGGGCCTACAAAAGGCCCATGTTGACAGGTCAGCTAGCCCGCTGCCCAGAGGGAAAAAAGGGGGGAAGTGAAACGAGAGAACAAGAACGTGAAGTGAGCAAGAAATCAGGGAAGAGGGACTGGAACACGGATGAGGAGGAGAGGGTGAGCTAAACAGTGACGGGTGGGGTGCCTGACGGGTGGGTCTGGTAGAGAATCGATAGGAGAGTGGAATGAAAGAAGAACGAGAGAAAGAGAACGCGAGCTGGCAGAGAAAGAGCGAAAGAGGGTGGCAGGTGTCCGGGCAGACGGGCAAGCATGACAACCGAGGGCGCACCTGGTCCCCTCACCGCGTCCACTCCGCCCCGATAAGCCCCCCCAGGCCCCCTGCACGCGTGCCTTGTTGCCCCCGCGCTTGCCTGGCGCGTCCTTGACCACCTCGTGCAGCCCAGGTAGCCACCCCAACGCGTTGACAAACCGCAGCAGTGGGCGGGCGAGGTTGGGGTCAGAGAGGAGGGTGGCGAGGGGCGGGAGGCACCTTTTGCCGATCTCACGCCGCAGCTGGGTGCCAGGGCGGGCAAGGAGGCGGCAGTCAAGGAGGAAGTGACGCCGATTCTCCAGGGCGCCGCACTCGCACGCGCCGGTTGGGTGCTTGCCGATGCGGCGCAGGTCGTCGTTGAGCCCCGAGAAGTTGAGCGAAGGCGGGCCCGCGACGTGCTGTGCCGGCGCGAGAGCAGGGACAGAGCAAGGAGTGGTAGGAGGAGAAGACTCGTCCAGGGGGAGCTGTGACAACAAGGCGAAGTCCCACGCCCGCCACGATGCCTCCCACCCGCTCATCTGGACAGTGCGGAACTACTGCTTGCATGCAAGGTTCACAGAGGATGTGGTTGTCTCTTGGTTGACAAGATCATGTGCCAGCAGCAGTGCGCCAGTCAGCACCGGGTCAGTCGAGTAGTGGTGCTCCTCATCCTCAGGGGCTGGTAATGGGCTGGATGGACAACATCAGTCTGCTCATGTGGGCAAGTCAGTCAGGAAGGCAGACAGACACTTGCATACAGCAGGCACGATGGCGGCAGTCAAGGAGAAATTTTTTTCCAATGTGAGGTCAACTGGGCCTCCTGCAAGCAAGAACATCTTAGGTATGAGAGAGACTTTGGTGGCATTTGCAGCCTGTCCATTGTTCACCGTGAGTGACAGTGTGTGGCAAATGCCCAAGGCAGGTAACTGTTCCCAGTGTGATGGCAGCTTCTGGACACAGCAAGATGACACAGGTGGGCAGCCAAAATGCAGCAACATTGTGACACAAGCGGATACAAAGTGTGACTGGGTACGAAGTCACGCCCCTGGGGTCCGGTCCGATTGCACACATTTGTGTGGCAATGTTACAGCAGGACCGCCGCTAGCACATCAAGGTGTTTTGGCCGAGCGGTCTAAGGCGCTAGCTTAAGGTCATTCTGATCCGCTAGTCCGAAAGGGCGTGAGTTCGAATCTCACAGACATCATAATCTTTTGCTCCGCCCGAGGGCCAGCCTGACGCTCACCTGCGCTGAGCCTAGCAGCCGCGCAGCACTGCAAGTGGAACGAAAGGGTGGTGCGGAGGGCTGAGGAGCGATGATTGTATACTGCTTTGCGCTGGTTGCTCAAGCCTGATATGGATGTTTGCGTGGGCGGGCCGCTCTCAACAAGCCCCTATGGCTCAGTGGCAGAGCGTTCGCCTAGTAAGCGAAAGGTCCATAGTTCGATCCTGTGTGGGGGCATGTCTTCTTTTGCCAGTTGCCTCAGCTCCTTCTGCTAGCCAGCTTCTTTTGCTGGCTAGCCTGCCTGCAAGTCTCAAGCTGGCCCATTGTTGCACCAAGCAGTGTGGGGGACACAGACACTGCCCCTGTAACCAAGTACCACTCGCAGCTGCACATTGTTTCAGGTGTCTGCCAGGAGAGTGCATGTCTGCAGAGGACAGAGAGGCCCAAGTGCGGTGTCCTGTTGTCTTGCAGTTTTGGCAATTCCTGACTCACTGTGAAGGGGCGTGACGAGGGCTTTGAGCCAGCCAGCCGCAAGTGCGGACTTCTCAAGTTGACACCTGCTGTGACCGACTCCCTCTCATCAACCTCGAGCGACTCGGCGTCCGCACGCTCGCTCGGACCTTCCGTTGCTAAGTCCTCTCCCTCGCTTCCTTTTTCTCTCAAACCTCGCTGACGCACTCTCATACCACTGCCACCGCACTCACAGGCTGTGAATGATCGTCGTCGACAAGGGGTCT